TACTTAACCTAATATATATATATATATATATATATATATATATTAATTTCGTAGATGTGTATATGTATATAAAACTAAATAATACTCGATTTTTATTAAAAACTATGATTTTTAATGTTATCGTTCAGATTTGATTATCCATAAAAATGATAATTGTAGAGGAAAAATTGTAATTTTGTGACAATATATAAGATATATAGTGGTACGTAAGTATATTATATTATTAAGTATGTAATGTTTCCGTTTTCGGTAACGTTTATTAATAAATCTGTAAAAATATTATACATATATTTCGTTCCCATTACTTCTCAAATATTTTCATTAATTTTCCCGAGAATTCAGCATATTTCAGTGTACAATAAACTGTAAAAATGTTATTTGTCTTGTATTATTCTTCATTTTTTTCGGAATCAAGATAATAAATGCAATTCAATGTTCAATCACTTTGAATATAAACTATATAAATTTTTTTCATAATTCTTTTGAATTTAATGTTGTTAAAATGTTAAGTGATTTTATTATTTTTTAGCATATTTCATTACATTCTTTCAACTACTAATTGCAACATTTTAATTATCCCGTTTTATTAATAAATCTTTAAAAATATTGTGTACTTATAATAGTTTCCATTATATTTCAGATATTTTTATTAAGTTTCCTTAGAATTTATAATATTTCAGCATATTTCAGAATACAATAAAAAAAAATTTTACAATGTAAAAGTATTATATAATATGTCTTGTATTATTTTTTATTTTTTTTTTTTTATTCATTTTCAATAATTATATCTTTAGGATTCATGATACTTCAGTATAATTTGTTCAATATCTCTGAATAAATTAGTATGAATATTAAATATATATGCATTAGTTTTCATTATTTTTCATCACTTTTCATTAATTATTATTAAAATTCATAGTATTTTAATACTACAATACTGTGAATTGAAGTCAAGATTGAAGTATTATAATACTTTCAATATTGAAATATTATGAATGACAATACTTAAAACAATATTTAAAACAGTCTCAAATATAAGATATAATTATAAATATCAGTCTATCTATGGCTTAATATTGAAAAAAATAAAATAACATTTTATTTAATAATGCGAAAAATAAAAAATGGAATAAAATTTATTTCTTCAAACTATAATAAAAATTCAGAAAGAATTATTTAGGAGAAAATATTGATCAATATATTGATCAATATATTGATCAATATGTAATTATTTATTTAAGAAAGTAAAAATAGATTCAAATGTGTCGAGCTAATAATGAGAAAAAGAAACATAAAAATAGGTAATTTCACCTCATTTTGCTTATTTCGTAACTACACCTTCCTTCTTAAATAATACCTAATTGTAATATATGCATGCGTTGATCCTTATCTGATGAGTACTATTCAAAAGCATAATATATTAGTATAAGTAATCATTCATGCGTTTATTGTCGCTGTGCATGCATCACAGAAATAATAAAGTAGAAATAAATCAAATATCGTGATTACGATATATATATATAATTTACAAGTAATAAATCTCTTTTATTTGTCGATAATTATACAAATCTTTTTCACATACTGCAAGCGAAAAATTGGACTCAATTCAAATAAAAATCGATTTGAGTTTCTTTTTTTATAGTGTGTATAGTTTCTCTCATAAAATAAACCCTCGTAAATCAAACTTTGCTCTGTTAAAAAATGACAATATAATGGTATTTGATAAAGTAGCATAAAATACCTTTTCGTCCAAAGCCTTGTGATGCTCGAAAAGGCTTTTCAAAGCTTTGAGGACTTCCACCTCAGACGATACACCAGATTGCGCAGCGGCTTGACGTTTCACAACCGTCATCCTAAGTGACCGTTCATGTCGCGATACTAAACACTCTAGATGTTCCAGTAAGAGCTGGAAATATCGATAATGAAGTATGTTATGTTAATCATACAGAGCCATTTATTCCGTTAACTCTATAATTTTTTATTTATTGTTATTTTTACTTATTTTCATTATAACGTTAAATGTACATTTACTTATTAAAGAATTATTTAAAAAGCATAGAAAATTTAAGAAAATCATAAAGAGTTGTTAGTATGTTGTTATAAAAAATCAGCTACGCACACGTGTGTTGTTTCGCTCCGCTTTTAATTCGGAAATTTCCTCTTCTCTTTCCAAGATGTTCTCTCGCGCTGCCGCCAGTTCTTTGGTCAATTGAGAAAATTCCTGCAATAAAAAACGATACACGTTAATATTAAAGAATTACTTTACAAGAAGAATAAGGTAATTATGCAGTATAAGGGATCATCCTCCAATGACCTTGATCTTGATATATATTTTCCAGATCATCACCTTGAGTGACCTTCAACAGGTTTCAGCTGTGCTATACATATATAAAAGAAAAGGTATTACCATATATCACCCCAGTTACATTTTACACAATAACTTGGTTAATAATCAATATTAAAGTTTAAAACTTGACAATTACATTCATTAAAATGTTGTTAAACCAATTCTGGAAGTTAACAAATATTTATTACTTAGGACACTATTAATAAAAAGACTCAAAAAAATATATAATAATGTGGTTTTCCACAAAAATACCTTAAAAAATTAGTTTTGTTTAAAAAACAGTTTGGTCAAACAAAATTAACAAAAAACTAAAATATTTTACAATGTATGTAAATAAATGTACATATATTCACATAACTTCTGTATATAAGATGCTCAGTACTAAAAATAGTACACATAATATAAACTACAGATTAACAGTAGAGCTATCGATTATCAATTGATCATTTTGATATAAAAACCTAAAAAAAAGAGGCTGTGAGCCATGAGTAATCAATATCCATAAAGGATATTAGCAAAATGTGCTTTTGTTTAAATTTGCATAACTCAAAATACACTGGGCAACAAAATTAACGCAACACCTGTTCACTCTGCAAAAATAGGCAAATTTCAAGATACAATAACTTTGTCAAAAATTATCATATCGGGATGTTTAAAAAAGCATTTTACAGGTAGAAACCTCTACTTTTTGGATCGCTATTTAAAAAAACGGTCTCATGGAGATTTCATGAAGTTACACAAACATAAATAAAGATATAAAATCTCAAAATTTTTTACAAAATTTGCGGAGTTCCACGAAGTGGACTAAAAATTGTATACAAATGCTATTTACATCGTTCGAAAGAACGAATCTTTACCTGTAATTTGCTTTTTTACGAAGCTCCGTACAATTTTTTTTCATCGAATTATTCAACGTTAAAGCAAAAATGGTCCTTTTGCTTCAACGTTGAATAATTCGATGAAAAAAAATCTTACGAAGCTTCGTAAAAAAGCAAATTAAAGGTAAAGATTCGCTCTCTCGAATGATGTAAATCGCATTTGTATACAATTTTTATTCCGCTCCGTGGAGCTTCGCAAATTTCATAAAAAATTTTGAGGTCTGATATATCTTCACTTATGTTTGTGTAACTTCATGAAATCTCCATGAGACCGTTTTTTTAAATAGCGATCCAAAAAGTAGAGGTTTCTACCTGTAAAATGCTTTTTTAAACATCCCGATATGATAATTTTTGACAAAGTTATTGTACCTTGAAATTTGCCTATTTTTGCAGAGTAAACAGGTGTTGCGTTAATTTTGTTGCCCAGTGTATATACACTCAAATAAAATATTAAATAGTATACACACTCAAAAATAGATATATTCGTGTGATAATACATTCAAGTTTAAAAAAGAAGAAGAACAAGTGTAATTAAATGTTAAAATGTAGAAACGTTCCGAAATACTTAAAATTCGTTATAATAAGTGCTGGCTATTGAGTATTGGCGTCACAGTGTAATGGCGAGCTACTGAACAAATAATTCCATAAGTAATCATTAAGATTCGCTATATAATAGCGGAGATATTAAGGGAAACCATAATATATACACTAATACTGAAATACTATTTTATATCCTTCCTTACTTGAAACATGGGGTGGATCCTACTTTGCGTGGAAAATCGTGCGTCCCTAGGCAGGGGAGGGGAAGGTAGGGTGGATCTTCTTTTGCATGGAAACTCAAACCCCCCCTTGGCAGGAAGGAAATGGGTTGAAACTCGCTTCGCGTGGAAAGTCGTATGCTCCTTAGAGCAAGGAAGAGATGAGATAAAATTCGCTTCTTATGGAAAGTCGTATGCCTCTAAATAAGAGGAGTGGACTTCCCTTCGCGTAGAAAGCTGTTATGTAAGCAAGAAAGGGTACAGAATAATTTTCAACATTATATATATCAGAAATAAGGCGTTATTTTTTTCAACTTCTTTTGTTAATCATTTTTTAATGAATAACAAACGACAGCTAAAATCCCCTACAGCATAAAAGTTACAGTAACAATGCTGCAACATTGCAGCAA